GATAAAAGAGCCCAGCTAGGAGAATAAAAAAAAAAAATCCATTTTATGTGTCAGCTGAGCAGATGTTTATCACTAATATCACCTTCCCTTGAATCTCACCTGCTCTGGTGTGAAGTGAATGACCCTCACGCAGCAGAGCAGTGCTGGGAGGGAGAGCTGGAGCTCCTTTTATCCCTCTGGCAGCTGGGGAATGGAGATACCACTGCTGTGTCTCCCCTTGGATCAGCTCACCCCTGGCAAGGGGAGCAGGGGAGAGTCGTGGTGGCTGGAGGTAAAGCAAGGCTCTTTAATGCTGATGAAATCTGAGATGAGATGCAGTTTTTATAGGAGCACAGAAACTGCCAGACTGGAACAGAGCTCTGCTTCCTATTGTCAACTCTCCTTTTCTAGTGCTGCTGGCAGCTTCCAGAAGCTGGGTAAAGGAGTCTTGCCCCAAGGGGTGATTCTTCCAGCCCTCAAAGGCAGTGAGTTGGCCAGTCCTTCCAGCTTGAAGGGGTTTACATGCCACTCAAATCTTATTTTAATCTTTTTTTTTTGCCTTTTCAAATTCACTCTTCCTTCTCTTCACAAACCTCGATCCTTCCCTCAGTCTTGCCTAGGCTTTGACTGCAACAATACCCACCAGTAATGATTTACCCATGCTAATTATGCTTTTTTTTTTTGCAGAGGAAAACATATTGTTGGTGGCTCTAAACGGAGTGATTTTTCAGTTTAATTGAACTTACAGCTCTGTATCCCCGGGGCAGGCTGGCAATGCAGTTCCTCCCCCTCCCCCTGAGACAACACACAGGCACTTTCTGGAGCCCAGCAACAGTCACTTGTTGAAACGTTTTCTTTTTTTTTTCTTTTTCTTTTTTTTTTTTTTTTCAGGTTCTTTCCCTCTTGCCTGCTCCATTTAAATCCGAGCCTCTCTGCAGATGAGGCTTTTGCAAAAGGCAAACAGCTCTCTTTGCCCGCCTGAAGAATGAAAAAGGCCCTGTTAAAGTCGTTCTGTTGATATTTCCCGGCAGTTTTGCAGAATCCCTCGCTGCTCTGCAGCTGTTCCAATTTGTTGTCTCAGCTGTGAGGATTTACTCCAGCTTTGCCTGAGCTGCGTTTTCTCACCATTCATCAGGCTGCTGGTGAGATCCATCAACACCAAAGCCACCTCCAAGCTGGTGTTTGGGGTAAAACTCAGCCTGGAGAAGCCGCTGCCAAGTTTTAAAGGGTGTTTGTGGTTCCTCCAGCGGGGTTGCATCAGGATAAAGCACACATTTGGGAAGTTTTCTGGAGAGCCTGGTCCTGGCACTGCCTCCCAGTGCAAGCTGGAGATGCTGTGCCCCATCTTGCTGGGATTGCAGCCCATCTCCAGGGCTCCCCAGCTCTCCTGTGGCAGGGCAGGTGGCAAATTCTGCAGGTGATGGCCACGTTCTGCAGGGTGAGGGTGCTTTTGGAGGCGTGGACAGAAATTATTGGCACAGCTTGCCCAGAGAGGCTGTGGCTGCCCCATCCCTGGGAGTGTTCAAGGCCAGGTTGGAGCAGCCTGGGCTAGTGGAAGGTGTCCCTGTTGTGGTAGGGAGTGGATTGAGATGATCCTTGGGGTCCTTTTCAACCCAACCCATCCTGTGATTCCATGAGATGACAATGTACTGGATTTTCTTGAGTGTCCTTGGCAGGCTGGGCAGAGGGAACAAGTAGAGAGGTGGCTGCTTTTCAGGGACTCTTCATTATCAGCATGGCAGATTGAGGAGGGTGGTTTTTCTTCAGTGTGATTTAACATTTTATTCTACCTTTTGGCTTTTGCTCCACTGTCTAAGATTTTTTTCTGCAAAAATCTCCACAAACACCAGGACGCTGTGGTGATAGCAGTGAAGAAGAGCACCATCTCACACAGTCATTAAAAATGCATAAGTAGTTTCAGAAGCAAGTTGCTCCCTCTGAGAAGCAAATCGTCCATAATTCTGCTTGGTATTTAGGGACTTTTATCTCCAGAGAGAAGGCAGAACTCTTCAGGATAGCCCTGATTTATTTTATTCTCTTGAATTTTCAGAGCTAGAGATGAAAAAGGGGCTTGACAGAGAAAGCATTACATACTTGTGCTGCACACAGAGAAGCCAGGGGGTCAGCTCACGATCCACCAGCTACTCAGCAATGCACCCACCACCCTCGAGGACCCAGCAAACTCTTTTCCAAGCAGCCCACTCTTTCTGGGGGTAGCAGATTGAGAGTGCTCTATAAACAGCTGTCCATCAAGCAGGCTATCACAGCATGCTGTCAGTACAGTAAAGAGGAGCCATTACAGCAAGAGCTGTAAATGTACAGGCTGTGACATGTTCTTGGTGGAAACTTCAGCAGAGGAAGTTGGTTTGATTTATTTTCAGCAAACTGTGCCGAGGATGAGTTTGGGATAAGTCATCTTCACATGCACAAGACTTAGTGCAGCAAGTTGCTATATATCCTTGCCTCTTAAAGTGTTTTCTTGGCTTCCTTCTTTGAAGGAAGGTTATCTTCCCTCCCTCTCTGTGCAGAATTTCGGGCTGCACTGGAGTTAATACCCAAAGCTGTACCTCTGCTTGGTGCAGCTGGGTACAAGGGATGTTTTAGGGCTCCTCCTGGGGGGATGAGAGGCACACAAGATGTGCCCCTTGCAAATGTAAGGATGCAAAAGCTGCTCTCTCCCCTTTCCCTCTCCTCCTAAACGTTGAATCCCAGCCTCTGTCCCCGCTGCTCAGCAGTGCAGCTGTGGTTTGGGCCACCCTGCTGTTGCACTGCCCAGGTATTTTCCAAGCCCCTCCATCAGCCAGATGGTCCGTGGGCACGGCTTGGAGGAGCCTGCGTGGTTCTGCTGTTTGGCAAACCCCAAGGTGTGTGTTTCTCTCCCTCCCAGCTGCTCCCAGGGCTGCTGCTCGAACATCCAAGCGCTGGGAAAGCCGTTTGGAGCGGTGGGGAACGCGTGAGGTGGAGGCAGCATCCCCCTGTGCTCCATGTTCTAGGTAATTACAGCCCTGCTGCTCGTGGAGCAGGGCTCAGCAGGTGCCCTGTATTTATTATTTAGCTCGCTGTTAACTCGAAGCTGGTGGTGCACAGGCAGCTGCTGCTTCCCTGGGAACGTCTGCACTCAGCTCCTCCCCAAACCTGGCTGCAAACAGGAGAGGGGGGTCTTGAGGGTCTGACCCTCAGAGCTGGAAGTCACAGGACCTTCTCCCAGACCTGGTGCAGTTTTGTCTTTGCAGAGTCTGAAGTGAGAACCACTTGTTTGGGAGCAGAGCCCAAACCCCCAAGCTCTCCCCCTCCTGTCAGGGAATTGCAGAGCCAGAAGGTCCCCCCTGAGCCTCCTTTTCTCCAGGCTGAGCCCCCCCAGCCAGGGCTGTAACACTGGTGTGAGTAAATTTGACCTGATCCTGCTGTTTTCTCAATATCTTGGAAAGTTTTGAAATAACCCCTTCCAAGTGCTCAAATGACACGTTGCTCCACGATCTGTCTCTGCTGCTTCCAAGGAACCAATTTCCCATGTGCTTAACCTTTCAGGGCTTTTCCTCCTTAGGAATTACTCTGTAACTCCCACTAAAAAAAAAAAAGAGAGAAAATTGCCATTGCCCTTCTCTCAGGGGTGGTTAATGATTTCCAGGTGGTTTGGGGGAGTTTCTGCTTTTTGAAAGTGGGTTGAGCACACTGAAATCAGGATGCCCTTCCAATGTGCAACTGACATTTGAGCATGGGATCCCTCAATTTTTCTGGAACAGAGAGGATTGGGATCCTCTGGTGGTGGGAGCTTCCCGAGGGAAACGTGATCTAGAAAATTATCAAACCCCAAAGAGTGGAGATGTCCCAGTGCACCCTGTATTGTCTTTATTTCTGTGGCCATGTCTCAGTATTTCCTGTCTGTAAAAAGGGATAGTCCCTATGGAGACTGCTGAGATAAGCTGCAGGAAGTCTAAATGTAATCTAAAAATAGATTAATTGAAAAATTGCAAGTAGAAAGCTACATCTTTTTTTTTTTTTTTCGGACAAAACTCCTAGTAACTTCAAAGGCAGATTAAAGACTTTGCCTGTGTCAGGACTTTAATATTTGGCCCAAGAATTAGACAAATGGAATAGTGTGAGCATGTTTGCCAGCAAATTGGAGAAGGGAGAGATAAGGTAACAGATGAAACACTCAAAGTCAGCGTTTAAGGACATTGCTGCCTGTGGAGATAATTTTATCAACTCGAGAGACAACCATTTTTTTTTCTACAAAGTAAAAATCTGCCCTCCATGCGGCTGTTTAAAATGGTATATGTTACAAATTTGTTGAACTGTGCTGTGGGAGTCTGCTCTGGGACAGCCAGTGCCAATATCTGTGCTGGTGATAAATCTGTGGATCCTCTGCCTTCTGCTCTTCAATTTGATGGTGTTTTGACTATGGGACTTAGACCTCTGTGTGCTGGGGTGGGGGAAAAGATGGTCCTGATCTTGGTCTTGTGGTGAATCCTCCTGTTCCTGAAAGAGAGGGAATGAGGTGTGACTGTCATTGGGGTGGGAGCATTACCAAGAATTGGTTTGTACTTTGGTGAGGCCAGAGTGACTCTCTGTGTGTGTGCCCACACTCATCCCTCACATCATGTCTTGGTATGAAAATGTTTTGTCCTATCCTAAAACCAGAAGTCAGTTTTAAATTTTGAGTTTCAGGCTGTTCTGAGTGAAAAAAAAAAAAAAAAGAAGAAATAAAGAGGGGGGTGGGTGCGAATAGAAGTTAGAGATGTGACTCAATATTGATTTCCACTCGCTTTTGCTGAAATGCTAAAAATGCCAAGATGAAATATTTGGACTTTTCCTTGTGTTTCTTTTCCTTTTTTTTTTTGGTTAGAAGCTTTTTGCCCAGTCTTGATTCCAATTCCTGAATAATTCATAGTCCGTAAATAGCTTGGGTAAATAGATTCTTTGTCCCAAGGGCTTGGCGAGCTGGGGGCAGTGCCACCCTGCTGTGAGGGGCTGCAGGGGGAGCAGAGGTGCTCATGGGGCCGTGTGTTTTGTCTCTGCAGAGTTATGTCATGCCCAGACCACCAAAGGGCTCCATGAGGATTTATGGAAGATGCCCCGTGTCTTGGCGCCTCTGGTGCTCCTTCTGCTGTGGCTGATGAGGATCTCTGCCAGCCCCCATTCCCTGAGGATTGGTGAGTACAGACCTTGCTTCTGACCTGTGTTTGAACGCCATCCACTCGCTGTTTGGCCACTGTGGGTAGGAATTCTTGGAGAAGGGAATGCTGTGGAGGCTCCCTGCCTTGGTGGGGTGCTCCCTGTTCAGGTGGGGTTGGCTCATTTGCTGAGCACTTTGGTTCTGGAAATATTCTCTCCTCCCTCTTGACAATGTCCCACCTGCATTTTGGAAATGTTCTCTCCTCCCCCTTGTAAATGAAATTCGGTTTGTGGTGAGTTTGTGCCCTTGCATTGATTCTTTTTACGGTGTCAGTGCCGCCTGATGGGAATATCGTCTCGTATAAATCGAAAGCCACCCCTCAAAGAGACACTGAGGAATTAAACCTGCCCCCTGTGCCACATCCTACCCACCCTGAGCTCCACATAAAATGAAATAGTTCTCTGTCACTGATGTATTTGTCCTCTGTTGATGAGCAAGAAGTTTTTGAGCCCAAAGGGCCCCTCGTTAAGCGATGCCACAAGGACATGAATAAATCCAGATTTCTCCATTTGTGAGAAAATCCTGTGCATTTGGTCTGCTTTGGGTTGTGTTAAACAGTGTTCAGGCAGAGGCCCCATCCTCTTCCCTCGCTGCCTGTGCAGGATTAGGAGACAGAAATGCATCCAGAAAGCCTGTAATGAAACTTGCCTCAAAGTATTGACACTTTGCTCTGTTGTTTAGAAAGGAAACTGCTTCTCCAGGCTGCTCCCTCTGCAGCTCCCAGCTGGCTTTATTAACTCTTTGCTGCAGATAAGAAGCAAATCTATTCCTGTCCTCCATTTGCACCTTTCAGGGATGACACCTGAAGCAAAATTACCTCTCCCCTCTGCTAGTGGAGCATGGAGCAGCTCAGGAACCTGGCAAGGGAGGGTCTGTGCTGGCAGGAGCCTGGCAGGGCTGTTTTCTGTGCCCAGCAGCTGTTGAGTCATGTGCAGCTCTCACACTGCACGGGCTCAGCTCCGCAGGCTGCATCTCCTGGGGATGGGCAGATCCTCCTCTGGGGGAAAAAAATCCCTCTTCATGCCTTGTGCCCCTTCTCTGGGGGTGGTGCTGTGGGTGCTTGGCAGTGTGAGGGAAGGGAACTGGTGGTTGCCCACCTTCACAACCCAGAGTGAAAGTGGAAGGTGCTGGAGAGGTGGGACTGTGCTTTTGAGGTCCTGGTTGAGGACTGGAAGCTAAAATGTGCCCTGCACCACACCTGCCAAGTGGGATTAGCTCCCACCTTCCAGGTCTCAGCTTGCCAGGCACTCAGGGGTTCCCCACCAGGAGTTGTTGGGGGTTTGATGAGTGTTGTTTCTTCGAGACGCAGTTTCATTTTTACAGCATCTCCAACAAAAAAGTTAATAAAAAATAAAGCAGAAAATAAAAAGAGGGGGAAAAAATATTACCAGCAGCCCTGAAATCATTCCCAAATGCGTGCTTTTGGCAAGGCAGGGAGATATGCTATCTAGCAACATAAATCAGGGCTCTGCATAGGAAAGGAAAAACAGACCAGAATGAACATTTAAATATTCAAAGAAAATGCAAGCTAATATTTAAAATAATCCTCGAAGCCATCTGGTTGCTGAAGTGCACAGTTAGCTGATCAGTAATGGGAGGTGGACATGGGCAATGTCCTGGTGGGTTCATCACCAGGAAGAAGAGATGATTTTCTGCAGCACTTGCCTTCCAGGTAGGAGGGAGCACAGTGGTGCTGAGTCAGGGGCACTTGGCTTGTGAACCAAACCCTGAGCTTCCCTGCTGCTGCTTTTTGGGGTTTGGGGTGGATCTTGGCCCTGGAATTTCCCAGTGGGGTTTCTAGGCAGCAGATTGCCTAATCTTTGAGCACACAGTGATGGGAATTTTTGCTGGCCTGGACAGGGCCCACAGCGAGTGTTGCATTGCAGTGAGCTTTGGAGGCATCATCTGTGCAGGAAAAGGGAGCAGAGTACTGGCTACAGGGTGACCTTCCCCGTGCCTTTGGATGCACAGGAACAGGCTATCTTTGCTCTATTTCATGACATACAGGGAAAAACATCAGTGCAGACTGGGTTTTTCAGCCTCACTCTTGTGTGTTCCCTTCTGCTCCAGTCCTGGAGAGAAGCCTCCTTCTTAACATTGTTCTAGAGACCTTTGTGGGGTGGGAAAAACAGCTCTAAAAGCTTTATCCACAAGGGTGATATTTTATTAGGAGTGTCTTTGGTGTGTCCCTCAGCTCACCTGGTCTTGCCTTGGTGAAGTATCATCATCTCCATGGATGCTCAAGAGCTGGTTGTGCTCAGGGTGTGAAGAAGCAGGCAGGGATGGGCACGTTCTGAGCAGTCTTAAGAGCTCCAGGAGACCTGTAAGGAATTGCCTTGAGATATCCTGTAGCTCTCGAAAGAGCCTCCCAAAATATCTCGGGACCCCGGTAATTTGTGCTGTGCCCTTGAACACGTTGTGTTGCATCCAACCCCACCAAAAGCTGGAGAGAGGCATCTCCCCCAGCCCTGCTTTCCTGCAGCACACAAAGTCTGTAGAAATAATCCTGGGTTTGTTTTCTCCTGTTCACTCATGCTCAATAAAGTGTCAGGATATCTGCCTGAGTTATTTACTGAGTTATTTACTTGGTCTTACAGAGCAGACAGTCAGGGCCCTAAATTGGCATTCTCTGGCAGGATTCATTGGGTGTGCTAACAGCTCATTTAAAATTCATATACAAGCCAAAGTTGTAGTTTATACATGGCATTGTCCTAACTAGCAGCACTGACGTATGATCTACTGGCAGAATCCTTGCAAGGCCTCCTGCAGCTCTTTAAAGTGCTCCTGTCTGTAACTGCCTCTGTAAATCCCTTCCCTGCCTCTGCATCCCAGCTTTGCAAAGTTTATACCACAAACAAGACACAGCTCTAGCATTTAAGGGTATTTTTTGGGGGATGAAACTGGTTGTTTTTCTGCCCCATCCACCCCCGGCTCAGCTGGTGGACAATCCATCCCAGTGCTTTGTGGTTTCATCCACCAGAGAGGGAGTTTGTGGTCGAAGCCCCGGAGCATGTGGAGCTGTGGGAAACCACTGGAATTCAGCTGTGCATGCTGAAGTAGCTGGCAAGAGGCAGGCTGGAAACGTTCCCTCCATTCCCTACTTATTCCCCTGTCAGACACCTGGCTAGCAGAGCTTGTGTGGCCTCGAATCCCTGTTAAATTACCCTCCTGAGGTGCTTATGATACACTAAACCACTTTCTCTGTGAGATAAGGGCCCCAGAGCTGCCCTGTCCGATGCAGCTTGTACATTGGTGTGCCTGAGCTGCAGGGCTGGAGCTGGAGGGAGAAAAGCACTAAAATAACGTGTGAGGCCAAAAAATGAACGATAATGGCAATGAACAGAATTGTGGAGCGTTTAGTGGAGCTTCCCCAGCTCCCAGAGGATATACATAATTCTCCTGCAGGCACTGCAGAGGAGATCCCACAAGGCAGTGTGTTATTCAGCATTAACATTTTAAAGGGTGATGGTGACGGTGGCGATGATGAAGGTGCAGCCGGTCCCCTGGATGCTGTAAAAGGAAGGTGCTGATGATGGGGGGCAGGTACAAAAGCTTCCTCCCAGGGTTTGCAAGGCTGAGGTGGGGATTTGCTGTTCCCCAGCAGAGAAATGGCCTTTCCCTGGCTTTGAACCCACAGATCAGCTCACAGCAGAGAAAACAGTCCCTGAGTCTCACACGGTGGTGCTGTTGCTGGAAAACCTTTCCCCTTGTAATTAGGATTAGTGTTGAGGATAACCAGGCTCTGGATGGGCTGGGATGACTCTCTCCATGGCTGTTTGTCAGAGCAGGGCTGTGCTGGGTGCTGCCTGGGTGAGGGGGCACAGTAATGACCCCTCACCAGAAGGCACCAGAGCAGAGGGGTCTTTGTTTCCCAGAAAGCAAAGCAGGGCACTGAGACACGTGTGATTATCTGACTGCCCTGAGTGTGAACCTGTTTTTAAAGGCTTAAAAATAATTCTTAAAAGGAAACCATTGTAGGCTGCAGGGCCCCGTGCCCGAGGCTGTACCCACCTGAGGGGCAGCAGCACTCCTTGGATATACATTTTCAAGTCTCTTTCTGTTTGGACTGTGGTAATCTCAGCCTGGCTTGAGGAGAAGGGTGCAGCTATTGGGATAAAATATTAATATTTCCCCCCATATTGAAAAGACCCAGTTAAGTTCATTAAGGTGAAGCAGATTCACAGTTATTTCTCATTTGCTGCTGAGGAGTGGTGAGAGGCAGAGAAAAATACAATATTCATTTGCTGCTTGCCCTTTTAATTTTATTTTGATTATTCTGCTGGGAGAGTGATATCTTATTTATGGGTTTTGAGTTCTGTGCATAAATCTTTATTTCTAAAAAAGCCACCCATACAGATGCCAGGTCCTCTCAGCAAAGCCTTGTCTAGACTTACAATGAATCCCAGAATGGTTTGGGTTGGAAAGGACTTTAAAGATCATCTCGTGCCCCTCCCGGGGCAGAGATGCCACACTCAGTAGATCAAGCTGCAGACATGGGGCATCCCCAGCTTCTCTGGGCAGATTTTACCCTTTGATTCTTTGCAGCTCTCCCAGGTATTGCTGTCTTACAGCCTGGGAAGAGTGGCTCCTTGCCAGATCTTCCCTGCCCTGAGGGATCTTGTAAAGGCAACTCGCTCACAGAGGCTACTTCAAGGATAAAAGCTGTTTTTTTTGGTTTTTTTTTAGGAAAAGGGAACTGACACTGTTCAAAGAGGGGCTGGTGACTGCTGTGGTCTCTTATCTAACTCTGAAATGAGTGTTCCCTGCAATGCCTGTGCTGCAGGACACCGGGGCAGGGCTCTGAGGCTCTGAGGTTGATGTGTGAGCAGAGCGTGGTCGCTGTGTCTGTCCAGGCAGGGGTTTGCACGCTATTCCCACTAAATCCATGGATGCAAATCTTCCTGGGAGATGTGCTCAGCATCCTCTCTGCCTGCAGAGGCAGGAGGCTGGTTAGCACCAGGGAAGTGTGAGGGAAAA